GCAGCGAGGGGGCAGAGTGTCGGGGCTAGCCCTGCTGGACTGGAGCCGAGAACCCTGCCCAGGGTTGCAAAGCATCTAGGATGCTGGGGGACTCTGGTTTAACTTAAGCCAAGAAAGGATCTTCGGTTGTATAAACCAGTTTGACCCAAATCAGTTAAGTCTGATACTACATTCAACCAGGTTTATCTCAAACTGGTTTTAGCCATTTTCAAACTGGTTTATGTGCATTGAAAGTCTGTTCTGTTACAGGTTTAAATCAGCTTCTGATCACATAAACCAGTTTGTGTGTAATGTCTGTCCCTAGCCCAAAAGCTCAAAAGAGGAGTGTTAGTGCTGAATGCATTGCACCACTCAGGCCTCATGCAGGAACACCACCTGGCAGGCCACAAGTGTGCCATCTGTGTACATTAGAGGTCACAAGTGGACACGTTCAACCATTACTAGGAAGGAACAGGCAGGAGGAAAGTTGCGTCTCAAGGAAAAAATAAATTGTCAACAACTATTTATAGCATCTTAGAAAATGTACTAAAATCTTTGGGTGGGTATAATGCTTGAAAAAGGATGTTAGAAGGAAGATAACGGACTTCTCTTTTGCCAGACACTTATCAATCAGGACTCAACTGTACAAAGAAAAGGGGAGGGAAAAAGCAGAAAGGAAAGGGGAAGAAATCCCCTTCACCACATCATTTTCCCATATTTTTCAGCACAGAAAGGATACTGTCCTGCATAAATTAATGTCTCTGGATCAATGTCATCACCATAGGCATTCAAAGGAACAAGTTTCCTTTTGATTGGGTCAAAAACCAATTGATAAAGGAATGTATTATTAGCTCGAATAAATCCCTCTATGTACTCTTCTGACACAATTATGTTCATCTTGAGGTACTGCCCCATTTTCTTAATAACCTGTCAAGAAAAATAAGATGTTGCTTATTTCTCATTTCTAACCATATGAAAATGGTTAGAAAAGAAAATACATATGAGCAAATACATCTTAAATTACTGGACAAAGCCTGAAATAGAGAGACAGCTAAGGCACATATTCCATCTATCTTTAAAAGCATGGAAAAACTGAATTAGGAATAACCTGTACATTGTTTCACCTTCAAATCTGATGTTGTTATCAATAAAACATTTCAACCCTCCACAAGGCTGTAGTCTTCAACAGATGCACAAGTAATAGGTACCCTATCATCATCAAGACTTTGCATTGAAATGCAAGATTGATGAAGTTAAGTATAACTAAATTTATCCTTTACTTTACCTTCCCTCCTCCCCCAACCACCCTCAAAACAGAAGCATGATATTACCAGACAGCACTTAAACTTCAAGCTATTTCTCAAAGGAGAGAGTACTGACTCACTAAATATTTAACTATTTTTTCCAACAGCATATTTATATACACTGATGTCGATCCTATGAAATTAATAATTAATATAAATACATGAACAAATACAAAATAATTCAAACTATGAAACAGAAGAAAACTAAACTTAATTGATTTATTTTGACAACGACCCGCACATTACGACGAAGGACAAGCTCAGCTGGGATGGGCTTCACCTGTCCCCCAAAAGGTAAGCGTGTGTTTTCTTCTAGGTTGGCGGATCTCCTCCGGCGGGCTTTAAACTAGGCTCGTCGGGGGGAGGGGAAGATGAGGGCGGGGAAGCTGTGGACCACCAAACCATGTGGCACCCACAAGGACAGCCCACCCTAAGAAAGGAGGACCCGGACAACTATAGGCCAGTCAGTCTCACCTCCATCCTTGGCAAAGTCTTTGAAAAAATTATCAAGGCTCACATTTGAGAGAGCCCAGCAGGACAAATTATGCTGAGGGGAAACCAGCACGGGTTCGTGGCAGGCAGATCGTGCCTGACCAATCTAGTCTCTTTTTATGACCAGGTTACGAAACACCTGAACACAGGAGGAGGGGTGGATGTTGTATACTTGGACTTCAGGAAGGCCTTCGATACGGTATCCCACCCCATACTGGTGAACAAGTTAAGAGGCTGTGACTTGGATGACTACACAGTCCGGCGGGTGGCGAATTGGCTGGAGGGTCGCACCCAGAGAGTCGTGGTAGATGGGTTGGTTTCGACCTGGAAGGGTGTGAGAAGTGGGGTCCCGCAGGGCTCGGTCCTTGGACCGATACTCTTTAATGTCTTCATCAGTGACTTGGACGAGGGAGTGAAATGTACTCTGTCCAAGTTTGCAGATGACACAAAGCTATGGGGAGAAGTGGACACGCCAGAGGGCAGGGAACAGCTGCAAGCAGACCTGGACAGGTTAGACAAGTGGGCAGAAAACAACAGAATGCAATTCAACAAGGAGAAATGCAAAGTGCTGCACCTAGGGAGGAAAAATGTCCAGCACACCTACAGCCTAGGGAATGACCTGCTGGGTGGCACAGCAGTGGAAGGGGACCTTGGAGTCCTAGTGGATTCCAAGATGAACATGAGTCGGCAGTGTGACGAAGCCATCAAAAAAGCCAATGGCACTTTATCGTACATCAGCAGATGCATGACGAATAGGTCCAAGGAGGTGATACTTCCCCTCTATCGGGCACTGGTCAGACCGCAGTTGGAGTACTGCATGAAATTCTGGGCGCCGCACTTCAAGAGGGATGCGGATAACCTGGAGAGAGTCTAGAGAAGGGCCACATGTATGGTTAAGGGCCTGCAGACCAAGCCCTACGAGGAGAGACTAGAGAAACTGGACCTTTTCAGCCTCCGCAAGAGAAGGTTGAGAGGCGACCTTGTGGCTGCCTATAAGTTCATCACGGGGGCACAGAAGGGAATTGGTGAGGTTTTATTCACCAAGGGGCCCCCCGGGGGTTACAAGAAATAATGGCCACAAGCATCTAGCTGGGGTCATCTAGACTCAGCACTCTTTGCTGCTTATGCAGGGGGTCAGACTCGATGATCTATTGAGGTCCCTTCCGACCCTAGCATCTATGAATCTATGAGTATGTTTTCCACGTCCAGTCAAAGATACTCTTCAATGTAAAAATCACTTCATTAAGAATCGTCTTTCAGTTTAATATGCTGTTGAACCACCCAGTACTTTTTCCTTAGTCTGTAGTTAAGATTCATATGGAGCATGAATATGTGACCAAGCTTAAAAAGAAAAATTTGCAACTTTAAAATTAAATTTAGTAGTATACCACTCTAATGCTGGTTTTGCTGAATGGTATGATTGAACAATGGGACATTTAGGTTTCCTTTTTATTTTTAAGAAAGTTAAATGAACCAAGGCAAATTGTTTTGATACATACCTTATCAATACATTTTTGAAGTGTGGGGAAAAAAATGCAGTTACTCTCAAAAAAGTCAAAATTAAATATGTGCTTGACTTCAAGTGAGTTAATCCAATGGATACAACTAACTGGACCAAATGAAATGTTTTACTGCTTTATGGCCTAAATGCATCCAAAACAAAGTTGTAAATTTTAACATCTCTCATTTTCTATAACCTCTTTTTTCCCCCCCCCGTTTGTGATCATACAAACAGTCCCAAACTGACTGGATTTTCTATGGTGTCAGGTTTGCTTAACTTGTAAGATTTGAATCAGGAGCTGCCTTAACTTGAATATTTTTCATAATGCCACACAGAGCCATGATAATTATAGGAAAATAAGCTAAATGACTTTGAACACGAAGGCAGAAAAAAAGGAGAAAGCACGCAAACAAGCCGTTTTTCAAGCAGCTACTTTTCTTGAAGAACTGCTTACACTTTAACTAGGACGATTCAACTGAAACTAAATTAAAAGTTCTAAGCTGTTTCTTTAGAAACCCAACACAAAGAATAAACAAACGATAATTTAAAACAAAATCTCTTAGAGTTTAAAAAAATGTTTCCAATTATGATATATTCTTGAAGGGTTAGAATATTTTGTTATATATTTTTTTCAAGTGCTGAGAGCTTAAATATAAGAGTGTTCTATCATACTGATGTATTACATGAAATACAAATTCTACAGTAGTAGTTGAATATTTTTGACAGTCTCAAAATCCAACAGTTTGACATGCACACTGCACAAAATATTTACATATTTTAACAGCATCACACACATATAAAGGTTTTAAAAAGCCTAACATCAAAAGTGAACAAATATTACCTTTATGATATCAGGATTGTTGGCTAATTTCAATAGCTTGCATGCTTTAGCTAACCCAATTCCATGAATTGATGGAAGGTAGTCACAGCCAGAGAGAATGCACATATAGCGGAATTTTTCCTCCGTAAACACGTTCCCAAGCTGTTTGCATTTTCCTAATTTGGCCTGATCAATCTCTAGCCCATTACCAAACTTATCGATTTTCAGGAACACCTAGAGAGAGGGATGGGGAGAGATTTACTTGTATTTTACACACTTTAAAATGATTTGTTTAGTCTTATAAAAATACATTATTGCTTTGTCACTTTGTGGCATTTAATGGCCTTGTCCCAGAATTGTCTAAATTTTAGAAGACATCAGGCATAGGTGAATTCCATAAAACTCAAACAGCAGAAGAACCATGTATTGGTGTACTTCAGAAGAAGAAAGAAAAAGAAAAGGCTGCTTTTCATACAAGAATGGAGACCCATGGATAGTGTTTTGAGATGGTCTTAAAGAATGAGAGTTGTGGTCAAAACGTGCGCATGCTTTCTAATCCAGAAGAGTTTACATTTTTCAAAACAGCTGAGCACATTTATGGTAGAGTTTGTACTCCTTTTCCTGTTTAGAAAGCACCTGCTACATTGTGAACAGAACTAAAAATAAGTATTTTTTTGTGGCGCAAGCTTGCATGCTACACTGGTATCATGTTTTAGATCACAATCTCTGGGATGGGCAAATAACAATATTTACAAGTGTGTGCGGGGAATTAGTTTGTACAATGCCTTGAATATGTAGCGAGATAAGGGTTATATAATGAAATACCTTTTTACATCCAAAAGCTAAAAGATCCGAGTCTTCTGTAATTATAGCTTGTACCAAGTTAGTTTTATTAAGATAGGCTAACTGAGCATCAGCTTCATATGGAGCAACAATACAATCAACACCTTGGGCTCGAGCTGCCTGTATAAAAACAAAAAAATGCAAGAATTATGAAAGCATTCAACATATTTACCACCACTTTCTTGCAGTAGCATTGGATAGGTTATGCTGGGAATTGTGGATAAGATGTTCAAGAATGCATAAATGACTTGGGACTGATCTCCATTTTTAAAGTGGAAAATTTTACTTTCTGTAAGCATATAGTAACAGCTACCCTTTATCTAAAAAGATCTGCTGACAGCAGTGCCCACAAAGGGTCTAGTATAGTCAATGGGGCGCCACCCACATGGACACATTTGAGTGATTTAAACCTAAGAATTAGAAAATGAAGTGATTACATTCTATAAAACACTTGCTTCTCTTATGCTGTTCGCCACCACTATCACAACTGTTCATGCTTCCAGTTTAACAAATTACAGTTTGGACAGAGAAAGCAGCACTTAAATAAATTTAAAGTCTGATTGATAAAACCTCTTGTGGGATTGAAAAGAAAAAAAAAAAAAAGAAAAAAAGTCTTGAGCCATTCTAAGTTACCTACAGTTTTTCTTTACATAGTCCTTTAGCAGCTGAAAATAATTTTGTACCATATTTCCTATTCATGTTGTTTACTGGTAATAATGTTACATTTTTAAGGACACCAAAATAGTTAAATGTTTAATTAGAATTTAAAAGAAATGTTTTAACTGGCACATGGCAGACATTTATACAACTCTACCATGAAAAAGAAAAAAAAAAGTCGAGGTGAAAACATCTATCTGTTGTCATAAACAAGATGTACTTAAGATATTTCACAGCACATTATAAAGTTTAAAGATAACAATATTTGTGCAAGTTAAATCACCAATCCAGTGACAGGGAAAAGAAAAGCAAAAAGAGAAGGGAAATAAACACGGTGGAAACAAGCACTGGAGATGCCATTTGCAAATACAAAATTCAGTATAATTAATGACTTACTTTAATAACTTCATGAGCCATAGCATGAGTAATATTAATGCTACGTCCAAAACATTCTTTTGCTTCCGATAGCTTCCCTTCACGAAGCAACTGTTTCCCTCTCAAAAGACTGGCTTGGCGCTTCCTGCAAAGGAATAAAAATTCCACTTTCCTCAAATATTGAACATTGCTATGGTATCACACAATATTATAGTTGTACTCAGTGCTTTGCAAAGGATTAAAGGGACACAATTCACCTATCACCTGCCCTCAAAAAGAGTTACAGTTTGTGACAAAATGAAGAACAAAAAGATCCAGAAATCAGACAGTAGAAGATGAGTGGACTATCCCAAACTGAAACAAAATTATGCAACTTATGATATAGTGAGTAGGAAAGTAGTTAGCGGTGTTATTCTGGTCAGGCATAAGGCAGAGTAGAGATGCACCTTATAGACTAATTGAATCAGAGCTGCATAAGCTTTTGTGAGCAAAAGCTCACTTTGTCAGATGTTATGGAAGGACATGCTACCATCACAATAATATTAAAATAAATCCTGAAAAACAAGCAAAGAACAGAGGTGTTAGTTGAAATCAACGATGGGAGGGAAAAAAAAAAAAGAATAGAGGTGGTTTTCCACGATGGTTTTAAAGGGCTGTGAAAATATTATACACAAGCAGCATCTATACACATGCTCTGGCGCAGGAGAGGGTGAGGGGGGAGGTGGAAGAGGGGGTGGCGTTTTAATTGCACCAACTGTGAGCTGCTCTAATTAGAGTACCCGCAAGGTCGTGTGTATTCAGCGTTCTGCACTTCAAAAATGATGGTAGGGGTGTTTGAACTAAAGCTTATTTGATGAACTTTAGTTCAATTACGTCTGCTGCCATTTTGAAGTTCTGGGATGCTAAATACATGTGATGCAGAGGCTGCTGAAGCATGTTAATTAACACACTCCAACAGGCTCAGTTAGAGTCTGCTCTCACATGTGCTAATTAGCACACATCGGAGCAGACATCCAACACGTGTATAGGTGCCCAAGAACTGCAAGTTTGGGAGACTGAGAAGGATTCTTTGGGACTCAATCCAAGATTAGAAACAAATTACTTCAAGGTGTAGGGGACCAAAAATTTCTCAAGAATTGGTAATCCAGCAATACCCACTCAAATCTGAGCTAAAACTTCAGGAGATTCTCTCACAAGATTCTAGAACCACCAAATCAGAACACAAATCCCAACCTTGATTCACGCTGAATACTATCATACTGTCCCACTTCTGAGGACAATGGTATCAGGAGAAAAAAAAAAAAAAAAAAAAGGAAACACTCCTGTTACATGATGTCTTTGAACCAACAAGAAATCTGAAACTCTTTGTAATTTTATATCTTGAAGGAATAGTTTCAGTAATTTATATTTTCCCAATTCATAAGCAGATTTTTGTAGTAGAGCAGTCATGAAAAAAAAATCTCCTAAGAAAGGTTTATTGTTTTCAACATTTGAAACAGTTATTACGGTGTACTGTAAAAATGCAGTAACTAAAGCAATCTTGGTAAGCAAAATAAATTACCATAGCTTAAAAAAAAAGATGAAATGCACTGTTAAACAGTTAGGCTAATGTAGTTTGCTTACAAGTTGAACATATCATTACTCACTCTCTTCGAGTCTTTTCCACTTCCTTTTTAGAAGGCAGGGTGCATCCATCAAATACTAGAATTGGCTTGATCCCAAATGACAGCAGCATATCAACAAGTTTCATGCAGAAAACTACATAACTGTAAGAAGAAATACACTTTTTAAATTTTTCAAAGCAAGAGAAGAACTGATTATTAAAAGCAAACTTTAACACTATCACATTTCCAACTTCTAGGGAAGAAAAACAAAATAAGTCAATGACATGATTATAGGTTTTCAGCAGGGGGTGTGTGCATGCGTGTGTGCACACACACTTACAGCACTGAACATCCACACAATTTTAAGATAGAGTCACTTCTCATCTTCTAAATCCAGTGGCGTTACCCACTCTGACTGATATTGTTGGATATACCGCTTACTCCAACAGATAATATACCTAATATACCTGGATTCTTCACAGCGTTAAGGGTTCCTAGCCCTTAAGATGATGAAGGTTTGTGAACTAGTTTGGGTGTGCATGGCCACAGCAAACCACTGTGGGATCACCGTAGTGCTCCATCTGAGCAGGGAGGAGGCGCACACAGCTGAGTAGCTCATGCTTGATTTGGCAACCAACTACAAATTACCTGGTGTACAAACATCCTGAGCAAAAAAAAAAAAAAATCAAAAAAATCCAGGTTCTACTGTACCTTGTCTCTTAAATGCAAGTAGATTAATTAGACTATTGCACCACCAAATCCTACCATACATGACAAACTTTACAAGCTATAGTACAAAACATCATTTTGACTTGAGTGAGCCAAATACACATAGTATAAAGTGATGAAATGGAGTGATGACAAGCATACTGATTTATCCTTCCCTGACACTAATAAAAATGACCTGTACCCAGACAAAGAAGAGACTGTAACCACGAGGGAATAACTTTGCCAATAGCAGTACTGTAAACAATGCCTTATAGCAGAGGTTGGCAATTTACAGACCACAGGCTGAATCCACCCTGTAGAGCCAGCTGATTCAGCCTGGGACATGGAGCTTCATCACCATTCAGCAGAAAGGGGGTCTGTATCTATGAGCACTCTCCCTGTGCCACCAGCAGGGAAAAGTGTTGGCTGTGGCTAGGTCCTAGCATCTGCCCACCTCTGACCTAAACCAAGTCACCCTGGCCAACAGCCTAAAAGGATTTCTGACCACTGCCTTACAGGGAAAGGAGGTAAAACAGCAGTACAAATGGAACAACCCACTGCTGTCCCCTAATCACATCCTTAGAGAGAGCTATTTGTAGGGAATTCTAGGCTTTTCATATTGTTTAGTCCACTGATCTCCCTATTGCAGTATTTGTATAGAGATGCGTGCTTTGGTTTGGTTTATGGACACAGGGGTCATTTTGCTATTAGAAAGACTCCTAGTAGGCACCTCATTTATCAGGCAAATATTGTGCAATAAATGGTAACATGTCAGACGTTCAAACAATTTATCACACAATAAAAATGGCAAACCAGCCAACCATTCCAAAACACATTATAATAATTACTGTGTAGATGCTGACTGCCAGATTTTCCCCTAAATGTCTGAAATGCACATATTCTATTCTCAAATGTCAGTAAATCCTAAACGCCTTAAAAAAGTGGGTAGCTGAGTTGAATGAAACAGGTATGATTTTTCATATAACCCAACCGTTATGTCCCTCCTCAAGCATCTCTTTTCTACACTGAATAGGCTTAGCCTCTTCATCTTTCCTCATGTGGAAGCCCCTCCACACCAGTCATCCTTGTGGCCCTCCTCTGTACCTTCTCTAGTTCTGTATGCTTTTTGAGGTGTGAGGACCAGACCAAGACACAGTATGCAAGGTGTGGACACAACAGGGATTTATAATGGGGCATAACGGTACTTTATGTTTTGTTTATAATTCACTTCTTAATAATTCCTAACACTTTGCCCTTTTGCCAGCTGCTGAACACTGAACTGATGTTTTTAGTAAACTGTCCACAACAATTCCCAGATCTCCTTCCCATGTGGAACAGCTAATGTCTAGCCCATCATAGTGTAGGTATAGCTTGGGTTATTTTTGCCCAGGTGCATCACTTTGCACTCATCTACACTGAATTTCACCTGTCATTTAGTTGCCTATTTGCTGAATTGTGTCAGATCCTTCTGTAGTTCCTCACAGTCAGCCTTTGTGTCTTTACCACTTTGAATAATTTTGTGTCATTCAGAAATCTGGACACCTCGCTACTCACTCCCTTTTCCAGATCATTCATCAGTGTTAAACAGCATGAGTCCCAGCAGAGATTGGGAAGCTGATTACTTCTTTCTAATCGGAAAACTGACCATTTATACTCACTCTCTGCTTTCTATCTTCAAGCCTATTTCTAATCTCCAATCATACCTTCCCAGTAACTTCCCAGTAATCCCATGACTACCTAACTTAATTAAAAGCCTGATGGGGGATATTGTCAAAAACTTCTTGGAAGTCGAAATATATTAAAGCAACTGGGTCACCCCAATCTACCCTCAAAGAAGTCTAGTAGGATGGTGAGACATAATTTCCCCTTGACAAAGCCACATTAATTCCTCCCCAGCAAGTCGTGTTCAACCATGCGCTGAACAATTTATTATTATTACTACTACCAGTTTTCCATGAATAGGACTCAGACTCACCAGCCTGTAGTTCCCTGGTCCCCTCTAGAACCCTTTTTAAATATGGGAGTCACGCTGGCAACCCTCCAGTCCTTTGGTACTGAGGTTGCTTTTCATGACAGGCTGCGAGTTAGGCAATGTCCAGTCTGAGCTCCTTCAGGACCCTAAGGTGAATCGCAGCAGGTCTTGGTGATTTGCTACCATTTAGTTTATCGATTTCCTCTATGACCTCACCTACCAAATCCTCAGTGTGGGGCAGTTTCACTGACTTATTCCTAGAAAACAGTGGATATGAGAGGGCATCTCCGTAACATCTTCCACAGTGAAGGCCCAACTGACTCCCTGGCAGCTGTTTGGCTTCTAACATACTTTTAATTTGGATCACTACCTTGCAAGTCTCTAGCTAGTTTCTCCTTAAACCCTGTCTTAGCATTCTCTCTGGCTTTTCCATCTATTTCATTCTCCGCATCAGGCCATGAGTTCACAGAGCAGAGGCACAGCCACTGCCTCTCCTCCTCAGTGCAGTTTCTTATGCACCTTTCACTGCCCAGTGGGGCAAGCTTCCTCCCAGGACCCAGCTTGAGGAAAGAGAACTGTTAGGGTCTTGTTACATGCTAATTTACAGCTGTTCCTGGAGCTTTTAATCCTTGGACTGTCCCCACATAGACACCTTAAAGTAGTTTTAAGCACTCATTATGCAGCTCAAAATGATGCTACTTCAGGGAAGGATCCTCCCTGATCCACACTACCCAGGTCCTGTTCCACTAAGGTGCAGCCACTCCCCAAATATTTGCTGCCCAAGTATATGTCCTCCAATATCTCTCACTCCCACAAAACAGCAGGGTTAGAAGCCCAGTAATGCCAACTCTCATGAAAAAAAATCATGAAACTCCTGATTTCCAAGTCAAATTAACTCCGACTCAAGATCTCCTGATAGAGATCAAATCTCAGGCCTTTTTCTTCTGGCACATATAGCGAACACCAAACTGGTAAATCTGTGGAGGGGAAGGGGTAGGGGGGAGAGGGGAGCAGATCAAGGCCCCCATAGTGAGGGAGAGAAGTGGGGCAGGGGTTGGGGTGAATGGGGCCCCGGGGCTGGGGGAGGCATGTGCCCCCCAGATTTGTGCATGGGGCAGAGGCAGGCTGGGACTCTGCATCCTGCTGCCTTTGGCCTGGGAACCACAGAAACACATGGTCCAAAAATAGCATCACATGATTTACATTTCAAATCTCTCAATTTTTAAGAGTTTGTCTCATGATTTTTCACACAGGGAGGCTGGCAATACTAAGCCTGTCCTGGCTCCCTAGCCCTCTGGGCAGCAAGTGGCGACCACCCGCCGGCAGCACTTTTTGCAGGGGGTGCACGTGTCCCCGCGTGCACTCCCTATGTGTCACCAATTTGCACAATTCCCATGCCCCTACCCCACTCCCTCCCTCATGGGGGGGGCCTCAATCTGCACCCCTCGCCCACACACCAGGGGCAGGGGGATGGGAGTGAGGGGCATGGGGTCCAAACCAGCCAGCAGTGTTTGCAAGCAGGTCCTGGTACAAAAGAGGTTGGGAACCCCTGACCTGGATTTCTTATCATTACTTTACATGCCAAAACTTTGCTGCGAGGGGCAGGGCCTTAAGGTTGTATCGTTTTACATTCCTGGTGCGCAGTCTGGCAGAGCTTGGGAGCCGCAGGATAAGGACGTGACTCCTCCCACCCCCTCCCCCCCCGGGGTAACGGTGGCACTTACAAGTCGGTGGGCTCGCCCTTGGCCAGCCTCTCGGCGCAGGCGTAGGCACCCTTGTGCAACCAGCAGTAGGTGTCCACGGCCACGGCCTGGCCGCGGTAGCGCTGCACGTGCGCCTCCTCGGCCGCCTCGCGCAGGAAGGGTAGCAGCCCCGCGATGCCCAGGGCTCTGCGGGCCGAACCAGCCGGTCAGCGCGCGCGTGGGGGAGAGGGGGGCAGGGGAGAGCACCCACGTACCCGGCCGGAGGGAGGGAAGGGCTGCTCCGACCGGAACGGCCGGCGCGCTCGAGCCGGGCTGCAACCCGCTTCAAGGGGGGCCCCCCCCCCCCGCCAGCCAATCGCAGGGGAGGGCGGAGATTGGACGGAGGGAAAGAAGACTGTATTCCGCAGAGCGGCGTGTGGCATGCTGGGAGGGGGAGCGGGCATTGCGCATGCGTATGAAGGGGTTTTTTTTTGGGGGGGGGGCGGGCATAGGGGTGTTGCAGCCGCGAGTTAGGAGCCTTAGCCCACCTTCCCCCCGCCCTCAGCCTTGCTGTGGTTCCCCGCAGGGACGAGCTCGGGATGTGGCCGGGATTTCCCACAGCCCTTTGGCCTGAGAGGTGCTGATAGGTCTGGGCAGGTCCCCAGCACAGGAAGGGTGAGGGTGAGGGTGGGGGTGGACAATAGCCATCGAGGGGCGCTCCTGCAGCAGAGATGCCCGCACCACCATAGGTTTTCCCAAAGGTGTTGTGTGGAGAAATTCACATTCCTGCCTTGCTCCGTGTTCCCTGGGTTTCTTCAGCCCTGGTGACTGGTAAGCTGGTTATCCTAGTTGCAGGGGGAAAGCCACCTTGGCAGGGGGTGGTAAGTACCCTGACTGAGGTCATGCATAGTTAGCCTCCTGTTTTTCCTTCCAACAGGAAGATCTCAGCTATGCACCAACTCTGTGGGAAACTGGGACTCCTCCCCAGTTTGGTTCTGCGGCCGTACAGCTGAGGGCGAGTGAAACTTGGCGGTATCCAAACCCCAAGCCTCCAGTCCTGGGCTCGCACGTGCGATGCTTGCCAAAGGATTTGGAAGCATCTGAAGCCCAGCTGGGGGTGGAGGGTGCTTGCTGGTAGCAGGGCCACATGTGGTTCTTGAATGAGTCATGGATTTGGAATCGATTTTTGCTGATTTGATTTGGGGAGCACACAATTTTCCTTAAAAAAAGCAGGGGGAGGGGTGGAGATTGCGTGGAGATGTTCTCATTCCATCTTTACAATAATCAATTCCTCACTCTTTTGGGTATTAAAAAATAATACAAATCCAAAATATATTAGTGGTTTATAGAAATGAAGCTTTCAAAGATTAAGCTTGTCCTAATTTGGGGGCCTGACCAATTTTTTGAGAGCATTTAAGGTTGGCAGTTCTGCTTACAATGCAAATTCAGCATAACCATTTGTCCCTAGCCTTGCCCTAGTCAAATTCAGGGTCAGAAAGCAGGGGAAATGGTGCCCTTATCATATTTGATGGTTTTTCTTAGCCCTTTGTTTTCTTTTCTTGCTGTCTTGTGCACATCTGGTACCCTCACATACCAAAAGAGAAGTTTCTTTCCTTTTTTTCCTGGTAGGTGTGCATTATAAAGAAAAAAAAAAATGAAAACTGCTGTAGAAGCAAAATATATATACACATCTGTTGCTTTCTTACAGGGATATAAATGGCAAGAGGCTAAATAGCAGTACAAGCAAGAAGATGCAAATCTCTTTTTAAGGATATGAATCATCAGCTTAAACACATTGTACATCAGTTGTGTGATGTTTGCAGCTTGAAGTCGAAGAAGTTGGGCTGGAAGGGACCTCCAGAGGTCGTTTAGTTCAGTCGCGCTTGATTAGTAACTATAATGGAATGCTCTGTATTGGATGCGTCTCTAAAACTGATGTGCTACTGAAGGTCATACGTGAATGAGACCACTTCAAAGAAAGTTATAAATGTTGAAATATAGGTGACTCAGAGGATTAAAAAGATGCATAGATGAGGCCTATCCTTGCACTGTTTGGGCAAAACATGCATTGGTTTTACAGAACAGAGGGAAAAATTAGGCTATAGTTGTATGTCTCCACAGCAATATTGAGAATGTGACCACAAACCTGTTTGTTCCAGGTCTGCACATGCTGAATGCTTTAGAAAAGGTGTATGGTTATCAGTGGAGTGGTACCGGATGTACACTGCCCCCAGTGTCTGAGACTGCAATTCTAGGCATACTCTAAAAAGTAAGTGCATGCCATGTTTTTGTAAGTGATGTTTGGGGAGCAGAAGCAAGCAAGCAGGACTGTCTCACGATTGCCACAGAGGAAGCATAGGCATATCCTTAGATTACTGACTGGCTGAAAAGCTGAAAAAAACGAGTGGCTTGCCTTTACATCGGTACAATATTAGGCTAAAATAGGCAACATGCAGCTTGTGATGGGGCAAGCTGAGTTTTACTGCACTTAAAAAAACCAAACAAATCCCACACACTTTTAAAAAATCAGCTTGATTCCTTGAGCTGATTCTCTAAAATCCCTGAAACAAATGCTAAGGTACACAGGAGTACACAGTTTGTACCCACAAGTGATGGAGTCCACAGAACAGATATTTTCCAGAACTCATTATCACTACACTGGTATAGTGATTATTTTTCTTTTTTTCCTCACGTGATGCAAAAGATGTAGGCATTTACTTTAAAGAGTATTCAGGTGCTGTTCATCATGGGCTGAGAAGTGAGTGTCTATACCTGATGGGTTACTTAGCGCAGAGAATTTGAGAGAGCTTTCTGGTTCACATATTCTTTTTCTCCTACACCTGATGCCTGTCCTGTCTGCTGAATTACCATACCTTGTGTAATACCCTGGTGAGCTCCCAAAGCAACAATTTGTTTTTTCTTGAACTCCATCCTCAATCTGGGTATAGTCTAAGCCACATATAATGGCTGCATTTGGCAATCAGAAAATGGACCTAACCCATCTCAACTTCTGTCAGCGCTGTGCTATTAGGAGCCCTAAAACTGACTAGATCCTATTTTGAGGCAAGCCAAGGCACCCATATTAACCAGGAAAGGAATTTCATAAGGTACAACTATGTGAGTGGAGGAGCAAGCTCTGAATAACAATGTAACTAGCATATTCATGCCACTGATATTCGGAGTGATTGATTTGGCAGTGATGAGGCACAAGCTGGCCATGCTATGGGGGATGAAACCATAAGGGCTCCATGTCATGAGCTTGGGGTCAGGGATTCCTTTTATCTAGTCATGCCTTCATTTTCTGTATAGCCAAAAGCTCACGTGAGAGACTGCCAACACCTGATGGGGTTAAAGGTTTTTAAAAAATCACTGGCTTTCCTGATTATATCAGCTTAAAGTTATAATGCATGAAAAGCCCAGGCCTAGACTGGTATACATTAGATGACAAGAAGATTTCGGTATTGCCAAACTAAAGGCTCAAGAAGCTCACAAGGCCTCCTCAATTCTGACATTTTAATTTTCTTTTTTTTGTGTGTGTAACAACTCTCACAGAGTTGGAGGAAGGAAGCCAGGTTGCATGACTTCCAGCATTTGGAGGAGGCACTAGGGGTGCCTGTAGATGTGCTGAGAGGATTCTTCAACATGCTGTAATTACAGCGTGTTGGAGCAAACTTGATTAATTGAGTGTGGTAATTACTGCGCTCCAGCAGCCTCCCGCATCTCATGCATCAGTGTCCCCATGCTTCAAAATGGCTTTTTCGACAAGCTTTAGATAAAGCACGCCTGCCACCATTTTGAAGCATGGGGATGCTGATATATGAGATGTGGAGGCTGGCTGGAGTGTGGTAATTACCACACCCCAGCAGACTCAATTAATCGAGTCTGCTCCAACGCATTGTAATTACAATGCATCGGAGCAGCCTCCGCACTTGGAAATAGGTGCCTTCCATTGTGAGGTACTAGGAAAATGAGCATTAGCCAGCCTTAATGGGAATTAACTAAAGCACATGCTTTTTAAGTGATGCTTAATGCGCATTAGCCTATTTTAATGCACATTAAGTAAAAAGCATGGGGCATTTTTACATATACAAGAGCCGCTGTGCCGGGCACTTTGAAGAGTGCCTGGCGTAGCAACACATACAGTTGTATAAGCAGCAAAATGCGTGTCAGCACTGAAAAATGGTGGTGGCCCACTTGAACTAAAACATAGAAGGTGCTGTAGTTCAAACACATACTGGCCCCATTTTCTGCATGCTGACGCACATTTTGCTTCTTATACAACTGATTCGATTAATCGAATCTGCTCTGGAGCAGTGCATCTCCAGTGCATGGTAGGAGAAAGAAGTCTGTGTATAAATGCCGATGGTTTTATACATGACACTTTAATTTGCATAAAATAAGATAATGCGCATTAAAGCACACGTGTAGACATGCCCAGTGTTATTCATAAATGTTTAAGCCAGAAGGAAACATTGTGGTCACCCAATCTGACTTCATTGTCATGTGTCCTCCTAGACTGAGTCACAGAAGATGGAAATTCTACTATAATTTGTTCTTTTTTTTCTCAGAAAAGTGAGAGCAAAAATAGAGTTGAGATTTTAAAAAAATGTCAGTAGCAGCAGCAGTTTCTTAAATTCAATCCTCAATTTTAAATGCATTATCAATCTCAAGTAGTAATGGCCATGGAACAACTACAAAATGGTGATACATTGGGTCAGATTCTGTTTGAACTATTAGGCACATAAATGGGCTTATGTGTCTAAATGTGATTGTATTCCACTTTGTCCCTGAAGAAACCGTTAACTTAAAAAAGGTCGGTGGTTCCTCCTGCTCCTTGCCGGTTTTTTTGTGACTCAGTCTTAAGGTGATGGTGCGTTACAAATATAGGTGCAGGTATTTGATGCAGGATAAGAGTAGATGCAAGATATTCAGGTATTTGACCAGGGTGGATTAGGATGACACCTAGGCACCTAAATTCATATGGAATACAGGCAGATATAATGGGTGCTTCCAGACAAGTGTGCACGTGCGGCTTGCAACTCTGCAAACCTGTTTGTGGCACTGTAAACTGCACACAGCAAATGTACAAATATATGCCACACTGCAAATTTGCAGTGAGGTGCTAGAATTTGATACCGGGATTTCCTGATATCAAAAAATAAAAAAAAACGCCACTAATTCAGTGCAGTGCATGCAGCAGCAGCATG